ACTTTCAATGATAGTCTTATTCATACTACAAAAGATATAAGTGAAGTTTCATGGAGCATTCTACAAGGTCAGACTTAAAAGATATAAGTGAAGCACATGAAGCATTTTATAAATCAATGAAGGGCTATCTCATATTAGCATGGTTCTTAAAGAAAAAGAAAAACACAAAGGACACAAATCATGTGAACAAAACAAAAACTGAGGTATAACGGTAATTGTTGAAGAAGAAAGATGGGATGCCAACCGGGGCATCCCCAAGCTTAGATGCTTGAGTGTCCTTGAAATATTTACTTGGGATGCCTTGGTCATCCCCAAGCTTGAACTCTTTCCTCTCTTTATTCTTCTCACATCGGTAACTCCTCGTTCTTCGAACACTTCATCCACACAAAACTTAACAAAAACTTTGTGAGATCCGTTAGTATAATAAAGCAAATCGCTACCTTTAGGTACTGTTGCAAACTCATTCCAATTTCATATTAGCACTATATCTACTGTATTCCAACTCCACCATGGTCCATACCCCCCGATACTACCCGTAGATTCATCAAAATAAGCGAACAACACAAATAAAACAGAATCTGTCAAAAACAGGATAGTCTGTAGTAATCTGGAAATTTCGTATACTTCTGTAAATCCAAAAATTCTAAAAAAATATGACAATTTAAACAAATTGTACAGAAGTACTGTGCAAAAAGTTTCAGACCCATTTGACTTTCTAGTAAAAAAATGTAAATTCACGCGCTACAGCCAAAGTTTCTGTTTTTGCACTGCACATAGTAAACAAGCAACCTAATCATCCTTAAACCAAAGCTTGGCATAATATTTTTATAATACAATGGATATATACAAGGGGATAATTATTTCTGAGAAACTTCCATGAAAAATTCTACATTGTTTTCATGAGCATGAACACAAGTGTTCAAGGTCGACCCTCACTTCTCCAATGCATAACTTTCCAATCACTTCTATTTTTGAAAAACTTTTTAGGCATATGAGGCAAGTGAATCTTTTTGTATTTTGGTTTTAAATTTTTTTGTATGTTTCACCCACAACTAAACAAAAAGGGAAAACAAAAACTACTTAGTGAAGAAAGCAAACAAGCACACACAAGAATATCAACCCCAGCTATTGCTCCCCGGTAACGGCACCAGAAAAGAGCTTGATGATCCCCAACTGCAAGGAATCATCGTAGCAATTTCCAAAGGTGGAAGTGATAAGTATGGAGTGTCGAACCCACAAGGAGCTAAGGTAAGATTAATATTCTCCCAAGTCCTATCTGCCATTGATACGACTCTTCGTACACCGAGCGTTTGCTTCCAACTAGAAACGAGAAATAAAACTCTGTTGTGGGTATGAATAGGATAACTTTGCATTATATTGGAGAGCTAAAATATAAAAGTAGGTGCTGCTATCATAAAGTTAGAATATATTACTTAAGTATTATAAATAGCGAGTGTGGAATAATGATGAGTCGGTGTGCGGAATTATCCTGGGCAATTGTTAACAAGACCGGTAATCACTATTGCAATTTCATATGAGTGAGAGGCATAAGCTAACATACGTTCTCTTCTTGGATCATATGCACTTATGATTGGAACTCTAGCAAGCATCCGCAACTACTAAAGATCATTAAGGTAAAACCCAACCATAGCATTAACATATCAAGTCCCCTTTATCACATACGCAACAACCCCCTTACTCGGGTTTATGCTTCTATCACTCAAGCAATCCACTATAAGCGAATCATGAACATATTGCAAACACCCTACAACGGGAATCCCTCACGCTTGCGCGACTCGGAGTGCACAATAGGACATCACCAAAATAAAACATACAACTCGTACCAATCTAGATCATCAATCAACCCAAAGACAAAGGATATCTACTCAAAACATCATAGGATGGCAACACATCATTGGATCATAATATGTGGCATAAAGCGCCATGTTTAAGTAGGGATTACATCGGGGTGCGGGAGAGTGGGTCGCATAAAAGAGATGATGATGGTGATGTTGATGAAGACGATCACTGCGGCGATGATTCCCCTCCCGATGGCACTCCGGCGCCACCGAGAGAGAGGAGGAGAGGTTCTCCCCTTTGTGCTTCCTCCTCCATGGCCTCCCCCCTGGATGGGGAGAGGTTCTCCCTTTGGTCCTTGGCCTCCATGGTGATGATGGCCCCTACGAGATCCTCCCACATGGCCTCCGGTGATGATGGCCCCCTCCGGCAGGGTGCCAGAGAGGGCCTAGATTGATTTCTCGTGGCTATAGAGGCTTGCGGCGGCGGAACTTCCGATCTCTTTTCTGTTCTGGGGTTTTCTCGATTTATAGGAGGGGTTGGCGTTGGTTTCACGTCAAGGGGGCCCACAGGGAGTCCACGAGGCAGGGGGCGCGCCCTGGGGGGGTGGCTCCACCCTCGTGGTGGCCTCGGGACTCCCCTCCGATAGATTTTTGTTCAAGTATTTTTTATATTTTCCAAAAATATTCTCCGTTGATTTTCAGCGCATTCCAAGAATTTTTATTCCTGCACAAAAACAACACGACGGTAATTCTGCTGAAAACAACGTAAGTCCGGGTTAGTTCTCATCAAATCGTACTAAAATCATGTAAAAAATATTATAAACATGGCATGAATACTTCATAAATTATAGATACGTTGGAGACGTATCAGCGGCGGCGACGATGATGACGGCGATGACTGCACCCGGTTCTACAGGCTCCTCGGCATGTAGAAGGCGGCAGCGGCGTAGTAATGTCGTTTTAGTTAGTTTTAGTTTATGTTCTAAAGTTTTTTATAAATATGAATGAAAATCGCCGAGTTTGAACGAATTTTATGTCGTGTTTGGCCGAGTTCCTTTTCAAAAAAGGGCGTCTGGGGATGACCTGGAGGCGGCGGCTGAGAACCCAATCACCACCACGCCTAAATTATCGCCGGT